TTTCAAAGACTCATTTTGTAATGAAATAAGTTGAAACTAAATAGCATCCACCCTTCTCTATTCCATAGTCCATAGAACAGGCCCTTTACTTTTGATATAAACATATTTTTGTAAGTAATAAAGCAAATGAAAATGACACAGTTCAACATTTTGAATGGGCTAAATAGAAGCATTTTTCCTCTCTTTTTCCCCTTCAGCGTATCCTTCCATAGGATGGGAGTTTTCCATCCTCTTCCATGTGTCTATTTAGTATGATGCCTCATGAAGCTCATTTTATTCAGTTCACTGGACACAACTTTTAATGGCTGGGATTGCACATCATAGTTTGACATCATGATTTAGTGAATAAACCAGAATTAGATAGCTTTATATATTGCTGCAAACTACAATGTGGTTTGTTTGATACTGGCTTAGTATGTTGTATGAATTCTAATTACTTTTAAATTAAAATCTTGAGCAAGGAAAGTGTGAATAATTCATCCTACATGTTTCTGGTTAACAAATCATTGCCATTGATCAGATAGATAGATAGATAGATAGATAGATAGATAGATAGATAGATAGATAGATAGAACAGACTGAGCAAGAATGAATGAAAGGTGAATTTCAGCAGACATCTGAGGCTGTTTTAATCAGAGCCAGTTTTCTGTAATGATTAAAGCATCAAGCTAAAAACTGGGGCACCATGAGTTCTAATCCTACTTTACACACAACTCAGCTGGGTGACCTTGAGTCAATCTCTCTCTCCCTCCCCCCTCTCTCTCCTCTCCCCCCCAAAGAGGCAATGACAGACCACTTGTGGAAACTTGTCAAGAAAACTGCAAGGATCCATCCAGGTAACTGTTAGGAGTCAACACTGACTTGAAGGCACCCACATCCACACAACGTTCTAATTAAGTCTAGTAACACAAAAGACTACAATTCCCTCAATACTACAATTTATTTAAAAATGAGCAGGGCTTTGATATTCAAGCAACATGTTGCTTGAGAGCTTAAAGTCAAAGGCAAGAAAAACAACATACAACATCAATTGCATCAAGGTAGAGTTCCTGAATTCCAGTTTAGTGAGATGCATAGCACAAGCATATGGTTACTCAGGAATTCCTAATATTTAAACAAGAACATTTTCTCCTGAAGTTGAAATTAAAAGAAATAAAAATATGTCAAATCTGTGCAGACTTAATTCTTTAATTATAATTAAGTAATAGTACCAAATACATATAGCTCTTCTAAGTCACAGTATAATATAGTGAACTTTTTAAAAAAGCCAGTTTTGGAGAAAATACACCAGAGCAAGAAGAGATAGAAGAGCAGAAGCTAAGAAATTAGATGTAGAAAACAAAATACACTGAATGTTAATAGTAGCTAGTGCTAATTAAAAATGCTCAGCTACATCCTGCTTTCTCCATGGCTCCCACATACTTATTTTTCACCAAATAATATGTTTCTCCCAATTTCAATGATGTATTGTCATTTATTTTATAGGAGAGAACCATTTTATGATTATTCAAAAGCAGAGACTTCAATAAAAATGTTGAATGCATTCAGAATTTGAAAAGAACAGAATTCATACAAATGAAGCGCAACCCCAAAGTATATGTGGGTCTGAACGTACCATGTCTTTTAGGATTATTTCGGCAGAATCTTCTTAAGAAAAACATAGCCTTGACTTTGATCTAATTTCATTTCTGTTCCAAAGAAGCCAAGCACCACCACCACCACCATCATCAATGTTCATATACTGTGCTCAGTGTGCTAATTACTACATTACAATCACTTAAAGATAATAGTCTACTGTCTGTCTAGATCAACATTATTCTAATAGCTAAAACTTTCCTTTTATTGTATTGGAACTCTTACAATGTCAGTTATGAATAATAAGCTCATTAATATTAATTGTCTTGGTTGGTGGGACATAGTTGTCCTTGAATGGACTTAGAAGCTAAGTGGGGTTAGATTTGGTTAATAATTGGGTGGGATGAATTTCAAGGTTGTAGGCTAGATTGAGAAACTTTGTTTAAAAAAAATCTATGAAAAGACAATAACTAACCACTTCTATATTTCTGCCAGGAAACCTATATAGTTGTGGTCTATAAAGTCACCAGGAATCAAGCTCAACTTGGATACTATACATTTTTCATTATTCATTGTATTGGGATATGAATTTAGAATTCATTAAATATACTTGGCTTGTTAGTATACTGACAAGATGGCATTTTTATGTATAGACCAGTGAAATTGTAGAGCAACACTGAAGTTGACTGTTTTCAGGCAAGATGTTCATATTGTATCTGATCCAAGCAATGTAAGATAAATCCTCAATATTTTTCAGGTAACTGAGTAGCATATGAGATTGAAGGTGCAAACTGGGCTTTCCAGTTGTGCCAACGTTTTCAATCAATTCCACTAAAAAGAAAAACTGGAAAAATGAGGTTGTGTTAGGCAGATTTACAGTGTTTTTCTCCAGTGCTTCATGAATCATATGATTCCACCTACTATAGAGTGAATTATCAGTGTCATAGCAATGGACTGAATAAGCACAGAAATTAAAATATTTCAAATGTATCTTTTAAGAAATGTTAACAAACTAAATTACAAGGCAGATTAATTAATGTATTATTATTTTAGAAAATGAAAACTATTAGGGCCACTATCTGCTCAAGTTTCTGTGCAATTGAGGTGGCTGTTCATGTGGGGGGGGGAAGGGAGAAAGGGTAAATACTATGCATCCCTGCCTATTCATATCCTATGATCAAGATTACTCTGATCTCACATGCCCCGTTCATACAGAAGTGACTTAAGTAACTATTCTATTATAATTTGGGTTTATGATATTTCAGATTCCAGATACAATGCCTGAATATTTCTGAAAACCACAAGATATTCTTTCATATACAAGCACTGATACTTGATAAATTAAAATGCCACCTAACAGGATAATATAGAATCTTCTATTCCTAGTACCTGTTCCATCAGTTCCACTTTGGAATTACAGCATGCAGTTAGTTATGGTAGGAAGGAACAGGATCATTGGCTTATGTTGATTAGCTTGCTTAGTTTCTCTGCTTTTTAATATTTTTTTTCCTAAACTATGAAATTACTCAGTGAGACCATAATTCCTGAATTTCAGATAGGAGACTTAGTCAGTTTATTTCTGAGCCAAACCTCCACCTTGCAGATGCCGGCAAAACCCATTTAAGTCATCATTGTTTACTGGCTCCTTAGCCCTGATGATGTTTGGAGTTTCCAAACGAAAGCTTGGCAGCTTTTAGTAAAGTATATTTTTATATTTATACTCTCCTGGTGTTCGTATTTTATTTGTATCATAGACATGCCCAGGAGTCGTATTTTTATGCAAATTTTCCTATATGTGTGTGTGTGTGTGTGTGTGTGTGTGTGTGTGTGTGTACACACACACACACACATATATATAAATATGTCTTTGGTTATTTGGGTTTTCTCCCACGTAAAATTGGAAGTGTCTTGGCGACATTTCGACGAAATCCCATTCGTCATCTTCAGGCTGGTGTTTTCGGCTTTGTGCTTTTAGGCTTTGTGCTTTTAGGACAATGGTTCTCAATCTTTTTAATGCCGCGACCCTCAACCAGTTGTAAGTCGAGGACTACTCAACCGGTTGTAAGTTGAGGATTTTTCCTGCCCGGGAACGCCACGCATGCCGAGGCGTAGCTGGCAAGCGGCAGAGACAATGCAGGCTGACCACCAGCTGGACTACCAGCTGGCCCAGCCCAAGGGAGGTAAGGCACTCGCCAGGCCACACGCGCGCCAGCAACCCTCTCTGCGCCCGCCGGCCTCCCACCTCCCACCCCTGGCCCTCTTTTACTTACATTTTTAGTAGTTGCTCAGCAGGGAGGGGTGGAAACTTCCAGACAGCTCACCTTTGCTGCAGACAACTTGCAGCACCGTTTGCAGAATGGGACTTTTGGCGGGCTCAGTAGGGCAGAGACAGCCTGGACAATTCCTATTGGGCTCTTCGAAGCCAATAGAATTTAGACTCTTATTCAAGAGAGTCTATTTCTATTGGCTTTTCAAACACCAATTAGATAAAAGGGAGTAGCACAGCTAAGACAGGGGGGGGAAAATGGCGGACTGTGTTGTTTGGCGACCCCCGTGAAATGGTTGTTCGACCCCAAATGGGGTCCCGACCCACAGGTTGAGAACCGCTGTTTTAGGAGCACGAAGCTGAAAACACCAGCCTGAAGATGACGAATGAGACTTCGTTGAAACATCGCCAAGACACTTCCAATTTGACGTGGGAGAAAACTCGAATAACCAAAGACCTACAAAAATACACACACACACAAACATATATATGGAAATATAAGAATATAAGAATCAGAGAATATCTTGACTTGAATTGACAATGATATAATGATGGAACCGGTCTCCAAGTCTAGGGGCTGGATTTTTCAGACAATTGAAAGTGATACAATATCATTGTCCATAGAGAGCATATTTATTCCTCTATTGTCTCTAATCCAAAAGTTTTGTTTGTTTCAGTGCATGATGAAAGATCTCAGATGAAAGGCTCAGGAAATAAATATAAGCCACAGGAAGAGTTGTTTAACATTCAAAATTATTTTGAGTTATCATCTCTTTTCTTTAAATTATTAAATGGAAATAGAATTTTTGAGCTCATAACCACTGACAGGTCTAGAAGTTTGGAAAGTTGTGCTGAATATTGCTTCCAAAGAAATTCTGTAACTAATTGGATTTTTCTGAAGAAGAATTTGGTAGATTGTATTGCAAAAGTTATTTGAAGAACAGGGTTTCATATACACTAATGTAAATTAAGCCTAACCATATTGTTTTCTGATTGTGCTTCTTACTCTGCATGTTTTCCATCCTTAATCTTCTATTTTCACTACTTCTGAAAGAACCTTAATGTTATGACTGAGTATTCTCATTATGTCAAATACAATACTGCAATGAATCATTATAACGTAGTGTAGGCGTTGACACATCTGTTTTTATTGTTACAGGAATGCTGATATTGACAGGGTACCTTGCATGGAGAAAGGGAGCAGAGCAATCAGTGCTACTTCACCAGACAACACCAGCTGGTCCACTCGCCACCATATCTGGTCAGAAATCAAGAAAGCAAAGCCATTTCCCCTCATTATTTCTCTCAGAGGGAAGGCTAAACCCTAGGGTGCCTTTGGGTCAGAAGACTGTAAGCACATCATGGACCCCTCAAAGTACTCCCAGCATTCCGATGACCCCGTCCCCTTCTCCCTAAACCTTTGGTTTCTTGCCGATGGAGGATTTTCCTCTGATTCTAAAGCCACATGGACCAATGTATGTACTTTTTTTTCCTTATAGACTTCAAGATTCAAATATTTGAAGTTGGACAATGAAATGGATCCCCCCCCCCCAAAAAAACCTGCTGTGGTTTTGCTGCTACATGAAGAATTGTGATTTGCATTGTATGGTTTTGGACCTATTCGCGTTTTAATGGGAGGTGGTTGAAGGGGCTATACTGGAGTATTGACACTTCAGAGTCATCTCTATCTCCTGCCCATCATGCACTTTTAAATGAAGAGTTATTAGAATATTTTATTGGCTAATATACTTTTTCTGTGTTATTTTTACAAAGGCCACCTTTATCCTTTTTAATGCCATATTTTCAGTGTTACACTTTTCTGGCTTTTAATTTTTTTATTTTGATTTGACAGATGTAAGAAGCAGCATGAATAGTTTATACTGTGGTTTTTCAGAGACTGAATGCCAAGAGAACTCAGTAAATGTTTATTCCTCTCGGTTTTCTCTTTCAATTCCCCTAAATAGCACCCCTTTTGGGAACAGAGCAAGAGTGTTGAACTAAAGACCAAAAAAGAAAGAAAGAAGGATCCCCTCAAGGTGTAAAACTATCTGGGGAAAATATTTGCTGGGTGTTATGAAAGACGTGGATGAAATTTCAACCCTGATGGTTTTGCAGTGATCCAGGAAGCCAGTGAGACAATCTCTCCAGATGTAAAGCTCTTTCATGATAATTAGAAAGGTATGGCCAAGCCAATGAAAACACAGGGGTAAAGTGAGAAGCAAGTCCCCATGATTTTGTTTCACTATTTGCTTTCTCCTGCCATGGTTAAAAGAAATGTGCAATCTGATTCTCAGTTGGTGGGTGGAGGATAACAGGGTAAGATTTACTTGTGTGCACTTGTATAGTTGTAGCCAAGAATCCAAACGTACACTAGAGCACTGATTTGGTAAAACAATTGGGATGTATCCCATTTTGGGCAAAATACTAAGGGGGGAAATGAGAGAAAAAAATATACGTTCAAATCACCTTGTGATCCAGTGTAACTGTTTACTAACTTGAATCAAGCAATTGTTCACACACTAGTGATCAGAGTGCACCTTCACTATAAGGCTATTGTGCTTAGCAAAGGGAAAAACATTTGGGAAGATTGTGATTCAAAGAGCTTGGGAGCAGGGTCTTAAATTAGAGCCAATTAAATCAGAACTTTATAGCGATGGTGCACTGACGGTACTTTGTACATACTGTATTTCTATATTTTCCTTTGTACAGATTCACTTAAGTCAAGCCACTGTTTTACAGGGGCTCCTTATTTATTAGGTCTGTGAAGGCTTGGAAAATTACACCCAACAAGCAAATTCACTTTGATTAAAAAAAAATACGAGAAAAAAAAGATGAAGTGTGGGAGGGAGGGCAGAAGGTGAGTGGATGTGCTCATGAACCCACAGAGTCTCAAAGCCTAACAAAGGCAAATTTCTATGGAAAATATGAAGCATTTTTAAGATGCTTCTTGTTGTTCTTTTTTCTTCTCCCTGACTGGTGTCAGATTTATTAAAACAAAATAAATCTCCAAGTTAAAAATGTACTTAACTTTGCTGTTGTTTCCTTTTTTAAAAAAAAAAAAAAAATCAGAACACAGAATGTCTTCATTTATTTTAGGAAGCCCACAGATTAAATCAGTATGATAAAAGTTAGTGTTAAATTTAAACTTTTTAAAAAAAGGATTTGGGGGGGGGGGATAAAGATAAAAATTAAGCTTTTAAATACACTACACCCAGGCTTGGTGATGCTCCAAGCAAATAGAAGGAGCAAACTCTCTGCCTTAATTGCCAGTGTAAAATTCAAATTACCGTAAATGCTGGCGTATAAGGCGACTTCCGCGAGCGCTGAAATCGGCGCCAAAGACGGGGGTCGTCTTATACGCTGAATCGTCTTATACGCCAGAAATACTGGTAGTTTCCAGCGTATAAGTCGACGTTCTAGAAATGCAGCCCGGCAATAAAGACGGGGGTCGTCTTATATGCCGGGTCGCCTTGTACGCTGGCATATATGGTATTTCATCATTCTCTGAAAGCTATTTGATTTTTTTCAGTGACCTTTTATCAAAAATACTAATATTTCCTCATCTAACATATACATCTATGGATACATATGGTATATTTTTACATCATTCCTGAAAATATTTGTTTTGTATCTTTTAAGGAATCTGACAGATGCTGCACGTGCTTGTTTCTTTATGGACTAACCTTCTGATGAATCCTATGCAGAGCCCTTATTGCTATATGCACAATGCTTACCATAGGGCTAAATAATTTTATGAAATATAATGGCATAAAAAAATGCTAATTAAGTATAGGAATAATTACTTTCCATATTGTTATGGTTTGTCATGCAGTCAGCCAGATGACTATATTTAGCATTTTTAATCCACCTATCAAGTCCTTCCCAAAACCTGGGAACAGGCAGATGTTGACGATGTTAAAGGTATTGTCGCAAGATGTAAGCTATTCCAAGTAAAGCTGTCTTTTGCAATTGACTGGAAGATTTGTCAATATGATGGAACTCAAGTGGAGCTCCAGATGTTTTGGAATTGCACCCAAGATGCTTATTACTTTTGATACTATTTTTGCTTTCTTTTGCCACAATTGTTCTACTTCTTCTTGCAGGTCTTTGTATTTTCTCCATTTCTTTCTTTTCTATTCTGCCATCTCGGTACTGCCATATCCACCACTATCCAGAATTTTGGGAGAGAGAAGAATAGAAGAAAAAGAATTAAAAGTCTATTTTATAAAGTGGAGTCCTCTCTGAACAAAAATCTGACTATATCCTTAAAGATATTTACATTGTCATGGGTAAAATGAGAAAACTTAAGAACATATCACTTTATTCAGTTATACCTTAAGCAAATTGTTAGTAAAATCTATGGCTGGAGCCATTGCTTCTTCCATGTATATTTCTGGACAGCTTGGGAACTGGAAATATCTGCTGCCTGGTGTACTTTAGGATAATTAGACTGCCCTTAAACGTGGTCCTTTAATTCCTGAGCCCTGGGATGATATATTGATAGTTGTTAGCTCATTGTAACCTTCACTAAGTATGCACAGTATTTCACGTAGTTGACTCCAGTCTTATCTCTTTGCCAGGAGCTTAAGGAAGCTGGAGTACTTCCTAGCTAAAGCATCATAACAAGGGAAACAGCAGTTTGCCCATCAGCCAGAAAGGAAATTCTGGAACTGGAAAGCTGAAGAGCAGCACTCCTTATTCGTTGGCTAAGAAACTAAAAACTATTGGAATAGCAAACCAGAGAAGTTATCTCAGGCCCCAATGTTTGGGTCCCTTTCACCTCCCGAGTCCCTTTACTTTCATGTTTTGATTGATTTGTTTAATGTATATCTAGCAAAGGTAGTAGTCAAAGTAATATATTAATATTAAAAGATAGGCATTCAACAATTAAAAAACCTCATCAAATCAGAAAGGTATACATTGTAGCAATCTTTTGTCTTACATTGTCTGCTCCACCCACAAGATTGTTACTCCAAGCATAAAGTAAGGTTTAAGAATTAAAATCTTGGTGTTGGTTTTATATTTCTACCTGTATGTTTGAGAGAGAATATTTATGACCGGAATCATTGTTCAAGAAAATTAGAAGAAAAGTTACAGCAAAAATTGGCAAAGCCCCAAAGCCTTCGTATATCATTAATATTGAGTGGACGGCTGGGAACCAGGGGAAGGTTTCAAGCCAAAATATATTGTACTTTAGTTAAATCCATCTGCAATTCTTTTGAGGAAAGTAATATTTCAAATATTCAAAGGCAGATCAAAGTCACATTTCTGTAGATTAGGTAGTGTAGTCACAAAGACACTGCAAGACTGACTACCGCCTGTTCCAGGTGGATAGCATGGTCCTTACAGAAAATATTTTCCAAATAAAGTATGAAAAAGAAGTTCAAAAGTTTATGAAAAATATTATTCATAAAGTGCATAAAGATTATGTATTCAAACATGAGCTTTTGGACTGGCTGCAGAAGGCTTATATGCTTACCAAATTGGGGATAAATAGAATAATCCCTAAATTAAAGACAATAATCCTTAAAATAATTATAGGTGCCTCCCAAACATGGGGCAATGTGAACCTCCCAAAGTTTCCAATGTTTATAGTTTCAGGAAAGATTGCCAAGGTGGGTACTAATCTAAGACTTTAAGGATTAAAGGCAAATAAATCAGAATACATTGAATTGTACCTTAAAATCCGCTGAAAGCCAACGCAGCACTCACATTTAGATGATATATGACATTAATGGCATCGGAGCTGGTTCACAATAATAAAAAGATTAGCAGCCATTTCCAGAGCAATTTGTGAGGGTAGACTGTATCTTCTCAAAATAGAGAAACATTTTCTGCTTTGTGTTAGAAAAGCATGAGAAAGAAAAGGAATTGTTTTGAATTATATATATGTAGATTTCTGTCTCATTTTATGATCTTTCTTGCCACAATCACTGCAGTTATTCAGTTAGTAACACAGTTGTTAAGTGAATCCAGCTTCCCTATAGACTTCGCTTATCAAAAGATCACAAAAGTTAATCACATGGTCCTGGGATACTGCAACCGCCATAAATATGAGTTAATTGACAAGCGTCTGAATTTTGATCACATGACCATGGGAATGCTGCAACGGTTGTAAGTGTGGAAACCAGCCATAAGTCACTTTTTTCAGTGCCGTTGTGAGTTCAAATGCTCACCCATACAGCATGCTGAAATAGTCTATCCTGGTAGTAATACCATTGTCAAGTCTTCTCACTCCTGAGTGGACATAGCTGACATACCAGCTGAAACTGGGCAAAGGATCTCCAACTATACATCCAGCAGCAGTTGTAAGCACACGGCAATATCCAAATTACGGATCTGGCCTTTCAGATGGAGTGCTACTTCATAGAAAGGTATAATAGAGGACCGGGTGGTTTTTGAACAGAGAGCATTTCTGTCTTCTCAGTGTTCAACGTCTACCTGTTTTGTCCCATTCAGACCAACAGCCTCCAACCAATAGGTGAAACATCAACTTATATTCAGCCTGGCTTGTGATGAAAACAATAGCACTTAGATTTATATACTGCTTCACAGTGCTTTACAGCCCTCTCTAAGCGGTTTACAGAATCAGTATATTGCTTGCAAAAATTTGGCTCCTCATTTTACCGACCTCGGAAGGATGGAAGGCTGAGTCAACTTTGAGCCGATCAGGATCAAACTGCTGGCAGTTGGCAGAATTAGCCTGCAGTATTGCATTCTAACCACTGCGCCGCCACAGCTCTCATATGATGAAGTTTACTAGTTGATATCAGTATTTTATGATATTTCACACCCAACTGATGAGTAGTCTTAAAACATATTTAAAAAATAAAGTCAATATGTACAGAACTCTACAAATAAGCATTAGCTGAGCCAGCCTTCCCTCACTCATCATGGTATGTGGGAATGACCTTGAGGGAGAGGGGAAGAGATACTGCCTAGCAAATAATCAGATAAAAGGGGAAGGAGCCCACAACTGCTTAATGGGCAAAGGAAGAAATATAAAAAGGATTTGCCCTAACATATGAATCTGCTAAATGTTATACTAGGAGACACATATGAAATTAAAATTGACATAGTTTTCTAAGTGTGGCTGTTCTGACAAGAAGAAATAGAGACGTTGCAACTTAGTTCTGATATTAGAGCAGGACCTTGATCCATAGTCAGAAAGTTGTCAGAGGATCTGTAACCACCATTTCATTCTGGAACCAAATCATAGTCTTGGGAGTAAAATACACCAAATTTACTATAAAGGATATCAGTTATCCAATTCCCAATCTTTTCACATTCTCATTCCTCAGCAGATACAAGATCTGATACTTGGCTCGGTTTCAGAGAATTAGGAAGCCATACATACAAAGTTCTGTTTCTGGCAACCCATAGGAAATTTCATACACGCACATGCATCTGCGCACATACACAAATTTATTTAAATCTTGATCCTCTTCTATCTTTTTAAGTTAATGAATTTTTGCCTGCTTTTTCTTGGCCTTGAACCCTTCTACCAATAACACAACAGAATAACAGAATTGAAAGGGACCTTGAGGTCATTTAGTCCAGCCCCATGCTCAAGTAGGAGATTCTATACCAGGGGTCCTCAACCTTGGCAACTTTAAGACTTGTGGACTTCAACTCCCAGAATTCCTCACCTGCTCTATACCATTTCAAAAAATGGTTGTCCAATCTCTTTAAAACCTCCGAAGTTGGAGCACCCACAACTTCTGTAAGCAGGTTGTTCCATTGATTAATTGTTCTAACTGTTAGGAAATTACTCCTTAGTTCTAGGTTGCTTCTCTCCTTGGTCAGTTTCCATCAATTGCTTCTTGTCCTGCTTTAAGGTGCTTTGGAGAATAGCTTGACTCCCTCTTCTTTGTGACAGTCCCTTAGATAATGGAACACTGCTATCATGTCACTCCCTAACCTTTCTTTTCATTAAAATAGACATACCCAATTCCTGCAACCATTCAATTCCTTCCTCCAATCTCCTAATCATCTTTGTTGCTCCTTTGCACACTTGCTTTG